TTCAAAAATTCATGTGAAGCATTTCATCATTTTAATTTGTATGTTTTTAAAACTATTCAATAAAGTCTAGTCTTTTGAAAATTTCTGATGTTCTTTTGGGATATTGTGTGCTCACACAATTGCCTATGTACACTCACTTAGGATAAAGTTCTATTTTTAGTATAACTCTCTTTAGGGCATCAGAATCACCGCCTGCCATAAATGCTTGCCCTAATTTTTTTTGCGCCAGTCTTCACTTTCTCAACCCTATTGTGCTGCCTATTTTCTCTATTCTTCATGATTTTCGCTCAAAATCTTCTTTGATTTTTTTTGTTTTCTCACATGGATTCAAGAAAGAAAGCGATTGAAAACCCAAAAAGAAAGGCCATGGACGAATCACTCAAGAAGGGATTTTAAGATCTGAAGAAATCTAGTAAGAAAAAGGCAACGAAAGAGAAAAATGCCACCGGAGTCTGATCCTACCACTCCAAAGGAGTCCTACGAGGAAGAAACCAGTCGTTCATCCTCACTTGTCTCTTCCCCTATTTCCAATGATCACTAAGACTCTATGTGCTCACCAGAGGAGTCCACCTCTGCCTCACCAGAAAAATCCCCTTTGGCATCCGATAGCACCTTAGACAACACTCCAATTACTACCCTAAAATCACGAAAGGTTGCTCTTATGAAAGCTGCTTCTTCAAAGCCCCTAACTTCAGTTGAGATGGCAAAGAAGAAAGGAAAGGCAATCATGGAAGAGTCTTCAACTGGTAAAATCTCTCTTTTTGTTTTGCTTGCTGCTAAGACTAGGTTTAAGAGCCGTTATGTTAGAAGATTTTGATGAATTTCATGCCATGATGAAGAAAAGAAAATGGCTTAGTATTGTCACACGTCTAACTGCACCCATTCAAACTCTTGTTCAAGAGTTTTACGCCAATTTTGGCCTTGATAATGCTGAACCAAACTCTAATGTGCATAATGATAGAGTTTACGTTAGAGGACATTGGGTTCTATTCAATGAAGAGGTTGTTAGGGATGCTCTAAGTCTGAAAAAGAGTAAGAAGAATTTTGATTTGACCAGTTTAGAATTAGACAAAATTGTTAAGGTTATAACTGGTGGTTCAATTGCAATTTGGCCTAGAAGTGGAGTTTTTCAGCCTGGTGCACTCACACCCTTTAACAGGCTGTTATTTAAGATTTCATTAACAAACTGGTCTCCTTTAATGCATAATTCCATGGTTGGACCAGAAAGAGCTCAACTTTTATATGGGATTGCTCAAGGGAAGAAAATCAACTTAGCTGCGCTGATTTTCACAAGTGTTAGGGTGGCTGCACAGCCCACTCATTCTCTTCAAAATTTACCCTTTCCTTCCCTGATTTACAAAATCATTTCCACCGAGAAGCCGAAATTTTATGATGTGGAACCCTTGTTGAAGATAAAAACTATCGCCAAGAAGTCTTTTCGTCAGCCATTAAGGAACATTCCTTCCACCTCCTTGGGTGAACACTCAAGGACTAACACTTGGCAGTCCAAGCTTTTTGTTGCTATGTAGGATTTGGAGACTTCCATGGAGAATGTTCTCCAATATGTGAAGGAAATTCATCTTTCCTTCAGTGCTCGGATGGATAAAATGGAGGCTGAAGTGAAGAAGAAGAAGAAGAAGAAGAAACCTGCTTCCTTTGCTCAGACTAAACCTGCTGCTAATAAAAATGAGGTTCCTTTTGTTGTTCCTATTGTTCCTATTGCCCCTGTTGCCCCTACTGCTCTTGCTGTGTTTGTTGAGATTCTTGTAGTTGTCATTCAAGAAGAAGAAGCTACTCATGAAGAAGAAGAAGAACCTGAAAATGCAGCTGCTTAAGACAAGGCACAACATTTTGAAGAAAATGATACTTCTCATGTGCGCACTGAAGATGTCCCTCCTTCACTAGTCAAAGAGAAAACCCCTCCAATCCAAGATGAAGCTACTAGCACTTCCTCTGCTGCTATTCTAAATGTTCAAGTGGATGACTCTCATGTCACCATCACTACTCCTTCCAAGAAAGAGTGAAAAGGAAAGCTCATCGCACATCGCTACCCTCTCGAAAGTCTTCAAGACTTATGAACAAATAAGGCGAGTAAGCATTATGGGGGAATGAAGTTAAAAAAATTTTATGTTCTGTTTATTGCTAAACTTTGAACTGCTTTGCTGTTGTCTCTCAATGGGGGAGTTTGTTATTTTTTGCTGTTTTAGTTATGTTTCTGCAGAACTTTTTTAGTTATTTTATCTTGATGTTTTATTGGCTAACCTTGTGTTCATACTTGTGTTGTTTTTGGTTCTTTTTTTTTTTTTGAATGTTTGTTCTTGCAAATCTACAGGTTTGATTGCTTGATTGAAACAGTTTGCACTTAATCTCTTTTGTTATGTTCTTTGTTCATAAGTTTGACAAAGGGGAAGAATGTGAAATACTCATATTTGTCAAACTTATGAGTTATGTGTGCACAATAGTTATGTGTGCACACTTGTTGCCAACCTTATGATTTGGCTTGTTTCCTTTTTCGTATGTGTGCACACTGGTTACCAAACTTGTGTCTTGGCTTATTTTGTTTCAAGTGTGTGTGCACAACAGTTCGTGCTTACACTCTCGCTTTAGACATTTGCAACCAGCATGAGTTGCATGTCTGATAAAGTGGAAAATATATTGTTTATCTTTGTCTCTTAATTTTTAGGACCTTTTTACATGTGTCATAGTATCCTTAAGTGGTCCTAGGGAATAAAGTTTCTTTTCCCCGATTTGTTTTGTGGTCCAAACCAAAAGAAGGAATACTTTCCTTATTTGGACAAACATGGTTTAGCCCTTTGTTGGCTGACATGGCACATATGTGTTGAGCAAGAAACCCTGTGTTATATATCATCTCATCTTGTGTCTTTGAATCTAACCTTTTGATCTTTTGTTTCATTGTACTCTAAAATTTCTTAGAGTATTCTTTCCCTTAAGGTTCAAAGGTTCATTTCCATTGTGTGCCAAAACCTCAGCACATCATTCATTGACTTAATGGCTCTTGGAACTTGGTTCCTGTGCTGATGCGTGGTGTCATTGTTTGAAGCTTGGTGGTTCACAAGCTGTTCTCGGGTGTGTTCCTAGCGTGAAGGAGGTCCAAAGAGTTGCTACACATTAAGGATTCAGAGTGTGGTGTTAAGTGTAAAGTTGAATAGGAAGTTCTTTTTACTGTATCTTAGATCAACTTTGAACATTATCTTGTAATGTGTTTTTAACTTAGTGGATTGCTTCGATTTGGACAAGGTCCCGTGGATGCAGACTAAAAGTGGATTTAGCCGAACCATGTATATGATCGTGTGCTTTACATTTACAGCTTGTTATTTTTTGTGATTTGTTTTAACTTGACTTGCTTAATCAACTTGGTATTATTTCCGTTGCACCTAAATGGGTAACCATATACTAAAGGGAGTTAACCAACAACTCTCTCCCCCAACAAAAAGAAATGTCATGCTTAAGTAGAGTTCACAAAATTTCCTTCAATCATGGTTCATCAAAACTATAAAGTAAATAGTTGAGGATTCAATATATATTATACCAATAGGCCCCCTCACATCAAACTTCAATTTTTTTTTTTTCTTTTTCATTTTCTTTATCCAATTTGTATGTGAGGATTCAAACTTGAGACATTTGACTTCGATACCATGTTAAGTTGTTATCCTATCTAAAAGCTTAAATTTGTAGGTGATTACTCAACATATATTATACCAATACTTTTAAAGCCTTAGTTTCCAGGGTCTAAATGTTAGAATTATTAGGTTCATAGCCCACCATTCCCATTGTTGGGATACTTTGGGTCTTGTGCTTATAAGAGCAACTAATATAGGCATGGTTTGGGTCTTGCGCTTATAAGATCGAATAAACTGCATGTGAATGAACAGATTGCAAATAAACAACACTAATTCCCCTAATAGAGAAGTCATTTTGATACGCCAATAAAATAATCCAAACTTCTACGGTGTGTTCCAGAACTATACTTGCACAAAGGCATCCTTCAAAACCTCCCAATGAAGTCCTGAAATTGTTAATAGGAAAAGGACATGGAAACTCCTTGAATTTCTCCTCCACTAAATCGAAGTAAATTATTTGTTCAAATATATCTTCATGAGGACTTCCTCTTGGCCTCAACCAATGTGGAGCTCCGTTCACAAGTGTTATTCCTGGTTCATTGGATAAATACCAATATGGGAAATCAAAATTTTCAAGTTTTTGTGTCCAGGAATTTGTCTTCAGATTATATACATAACCATTAACTGAATCATCATTTATTTGAGTAAAAACTATTACCACTTAGTAGTTATTAATAGATGAATCGTAACCAAGCCCAATAACACGATAGCCCTTATCATCATGAAATTTAGAAGAACAGCACCAAAAACTCCAATGTGGAATCATCTTCAGCTCCCTCGTTGCTGGATTCCATATCATGAATCCTGATCGATTATTCTTCATGACACTCCGATCCTTGTCAAGACGTACTAATATTTTGGCTTGACTGAATCCGTTAGCTTCCACTATCATTGAAGAAAGATCACCAGATGATCCACTACCGTCAAGGCTATATACGGAAATACGATGACAGTGTTTTGATTCAATGACTCCATATCTGCGAGACCTTTTAGACGTTTTATTGAGGTGTGTTATGGCAAATTTTTGGTTTGATATTAAAGAAAGCCATGAGTTGCTAACACACTTGAATCGCAATAAAGATTTTACTGGAAGCCTTAGAAGAATATCTCGTACAAGATCATCCGGAAGGTACAGCGACGGCGCCTGCACTTCTTCTGTGGTGCTAGATGGGGTTAATTGCAGGGTTTTTTGTTTTTCCTCATTATCTTTAGGGGATATTTTGTTTAAGCTAATAGTTTAACGCAATTAAATTAATTATTAATTTAAGACAATATGAATCAATTTTTTACTTTATTCTTTTTGTAATTTTTATTTTGCATTTCAAAGACACATTAATACAAAATAATAACACAATAAAAGTGGCATAAATGATTAACTAAAATTTGAGAACACATCTCAGTGACTTTCCATCAAGGAGCAGCTGAAAGGCTTCATTGATCTTCTCAAATGGGAGCTCATGAGTTATGAATTCATCTAAATTCAAAACCTGTACATTATACACAAGTGAATTGCATGTATATATAATAAAGTTGGAAAAAAAAAAAAAAATCAGACACATATAAAAATTTACTGACCCCATTGATGCACTGTTGGGCAAGATGAGGAAGCTGAGACTTCCCTTTAAAGTCTCCAAAAACAGTTCCGATGATTTTTCGACCATCGAACAACTCCATTGGATGAAGAGGAAGCATTCTTGGATTCGGATGAATTCCTAACAAAACAGTCGATCCCCAACCCTATCCCATGATATACCAATTATTATTACTCTAATACCATTACTTTCTGATATACCATGAGTCGATATTTATGTCATATCTAATATTTTTTCTATTTCATTTATTTTGATCTCAAATATCATTGATGGATATTAAATTTAATACATGGGTGGTGTGTCTATGTTAGTTTATAGGTAAAGATTGGTTCACAATCTAATTTTATAAAATTTTTTTCACAATCTCAACGTAACAGTTCGCAATTGGTTAATTTATAATTAGTCAAACCTAATTACAAAATAATTAATTATGAATTGCCACGTCAGAATTATAAAAGAAAATACATGAGGTTGAGTTATATATATAGTTTTCCCGTTAGTTTATAGTATCATCAACGTACTATCGTGATATTATATACAATCACATATTTGTTTTAAAATTTGAACTTACGTCATGGGTGGACAAAAAGGATTCTCGGAGAACATCCACATTTCCTGCACATTCAAAACTGTAATCTACACCTCCTCCTGTCATTTCTCTGATTTTCTGCACCCACATTAAATTAATTGGTTTTGAACCCACAAAAAATTATAATATAAAAGCATTTTTGCAAGTAAAAGTTTTTTACTAACAAGATTAGGTCATATAAGTAAATATTCTATCTTTTTATTTATTTTCTTATTTTATACTTTTATATCTTTAAGATTGAAATGAAAAAAAAAAAGATATCAAATCTTAATGTAGGATATTAATTATTCATAATATTAGTATTGCTCTTATATATTATTAAATATCACAATGAATAACATAAATAGTTCAATAATCGACTATTAGCATAAGATGAGATCAATGAATTAAAGTAGTTTCTTATTATATATTAGAGAAAACTATTATGCATTAAATAATATCTATAATTTAATTTTTTGTTATTATATAAGATTACAAAATCACAAAATTTTCAAATAGCAATTTCCCCTCTTTTAAGTATCCAAAATAATTTTTATTAGTATAATAATTTTTATTATTAAACACAAACCTCATGCACTGGCGTTCCAAGATCCTTCGGATTTATAAAATCTGTGACCCCCATTTTTTTTCCTGTTTGCACGGTAAGAGACGTATATCATAACCATAATAGCGTATAAATTCACGGTACAAACTCATCTATACAAAATAAGGTATTTTAATATAATTGGATAAATTTAGATTAGAGAATTTAGGCAAATTAAAGTTTGTAATACCTCAAACATAACAAGTTATAATGAATAATTTGCATATCTAACCTTACTCTTTTTATATGTAATAAAAAAAGTTGATTTTAAAAAAAAAATATTACTTCATGAAATAATTTTAAAATGAAATAAAAAGTCCGATTTGATTTCAACTATCATACGATGTCTCAAAAGCGCTAAAAACAGAGACAAAGAGTAGTTCCTTGTGAAACATAAACCATTAATTATATTTCACATATATAGCATGATAATAGAATGAAATATTACCTTTTATGAACTTTTCAGAGTTGATGTCAACTCCTATTATAGTGGATGCTCCTCTTACTCGAGATCCTTCGGCAACCTGGAGGAAAATTTTTAAATTCCACTTAATTCAAAAATTAACTACAAATTGAAAAAGGAACTCCTACAATATCGATATCTGAACTTGAGAAAATTCATTAAATTAACTTAAAATTAAGAAAATTATGATTTCTTTCCTATGTATTGCCTGATTTTTCTTCAAATTATTTTTAAAACTCAGAACTCTAAACCCTAAACTTACAGCAAGTCCGAGAGCCCCCAATCCGAAAATAGCTACGGTAGAACCAGCTTGCACGTCAGCACAATTCCATGCAGCTCCAACTCCTTCATCAACATCACAACATCAATTTTTATATTCAATTCATACAAAAATTCTGAAAAATAGACATTTACATTTGTTTTTAATTCAGATTTTTTTTTTTGACGTCAACAAATACTAAAAAAAAAAAAAAAAAGAAAAACAAATCATGCGGCTTTGAATAGAAAAAATTATTTTCAACAATTTGTCTTCTAGTAATATTTCCTTAAACGTTAGTAAATCGTTAACTGACAATAATAAACGCGATCTTATTCTTACCGGTAGAAATACAGCAGCTTAACAAGCTCATCTTCTTGAGAGAAGCGTCCGGGTCAATCTTGGCAGCACATCCAGCATCAATAACGGTGTACTCTGAGAAAGTGGAGGTGTTGAGAAAATGATAAATTGGTTTTCCATCCATGGTCGAAAACCTACACTTTCCATCGTTCACCATCACAGATTTCATCGGATTTACGCGTAAAGTCTCACACAAATTAGTCTTCTCACTTTTGCAATACACGCAGTTCCCACACTCTCCATTGAAGATTGGAATTACATGGTCACCTTTCTTCAAGTCTGTCACACCTTCACCAACGCTCTCTATTATCCTGGACACACCCAAATTACGTTGTATTAATTCAAGTTTGGCGCAATCTATATTCTAATGCATGGTTAAGTGTTAGGTAGAATTTGGTGTATCACATTATCTGTATGTAGCATCAGGGAACTTGACAAACGAGAAAACTAGATAATCCAAAAAGAGGAAAAAAAAAAAAAAAACACTCAATTTGGTATGTCATGAGTTTTATCCCTCGAAAAGAAAAGACTATTCCTGATTACATCATTAATGGCTTTTACAATATTTTTTCATAGATGTATGTATAGATGATGTAATACGTATAATCTCACCCAGCAGCTTCATGGCCTAAAATTCGAGGAAATGCTCGCTGAGCTTCATTCTACAACAAAAATTTAACTTCGTTAAATTATATACAAATATCTTTCTTGTTTTAATCTTACAATATGTTGCCATTTTTAATTACCGTTCCTTTCCAGATATCGATATCAGTATGACAGATTGAGCTGTACAAGATCTTCATTCTAACCTCCATTTTCTTAGGAGGATCAACTTTGATTTCTTCCACGACAAGAGGCTCTCCAGGACCTCGTGCCACAGCAGCTGCACACACCAGTCAATCTGTAAATATAACACTTCTTGCGAAAAAACTCTCGCATACCAAATGATATAGAGATATAACCAGTTACTAATCCTCGTCGAGTAATACTGTTTAACTGTATCAATATCGTAGAATGAACCAGTTTCAATGAAGAGAAAAGATAAATTCTTACCCTTGCAAGTTATCACCTCTCCGCTTGTCTCCATTGTGCTAAATCTTCTGATGTTTGAGTGCCTACAGGTCGATGTCAAGCTTCTTGTAAAGGTTCTTATCTTCCTTGTCAACTGTGAGGCAAACATGGTTTGTTTTGGTTTCTCACACTACGGATTTATAGAACTTAAGCAGTGAAGACGTCAAAAGAAAAAATAGAGTGCTATTGTTTTGGTCTCTTACTCTACGGATTTATAGAAGTTAAGCAGTGCAGAATGAAGATGTCAAATTAAGTTCTATAAATGGGGCTGCATTCTTGATAATTATTGACTTGTTTATGCTGTAATGTTTTTGTTAATTTGTTTACGCTATAATACTGTTGTTACCCTTAACAAAATTGATTGCTAATTAATTGAGAATAAAATAATAACAACAATAATCAAATATAATATTAACTTGTAAGAAACAAATTAACCACATAATAAAACTTTGTCGGTGTTTTCGGTGAGCATTTATAGGCTTAACCTCTTAAGAACCCTAAATTTTATAAGAGTAAACGATTTTTTCCCACCCAAGGATTGCCTTAATTGATATTTTCTCACCCAAAAAGTTTTAAAATACCACTTTTTCACCCAAGGTTTCTAGGGGTGAGCACGGGTAGCGGGTAGAATCGGAACCGGGGGTAAGAACCGGAACCAGAACCAGAACCTACCCAGAACCTGCACTGTGCGGGTAGGTTCCGGTTCCAATTTTTTGGAACCGCTACTATGCGGTTCCGGTTCCGGTTCTTGCATGTGGAGGAACCGGAACCGGAACCGAAACCTATAAAAAGGGTACCCTGTTTGGAACCTGTAGGGGGTACCCGGTTTGGAACCTGTTTTGGAACCTGTTTGGAACCTGTTTTGGAACCTGCTTTAGATCCTGTTTTGGAACCTGTTTAGAATCTATTTTGGAACCTGGACTATAATGAAATATTTGTGAAAGGTAAAGTAATGGGGGAGTTTCTATTTATTTTACATATAAAAAATTTAAATAGAAAAAGTTAAATTTAAATTTTTAGAATAACCTAATAAAATAAATATACGAATACAATTATACTTATTACATATAAATTACACCATATTAAAAGCTTTAATATATTATAATACATTAATATTAAAGTTTTGATTAATTAAGTGATAATTGAAATTATGATCCAATTAAAAGTGCTTTACATTTTTAATGTTATTAAAGAATTATTTTGAATAAATAGTATATTGATTGAGTATATATATTTGTTATTTACTTCAATTATCAGTTCTAAGTATATCTATAATAAATTAGTAATTAATTAATTATATATGATAATTGATAATAATAATAATTTAATTACTATTAAATATCATACTTAATCAATTATAACATTACATTATTTAAATGATTACTTACTATTAATTATAATTTTATAACATTGCTTAATTGATTTATAGTATAATTAATTAAGCATTACATTAATTGATTACTACTTAATTATTGACTTATAAATTATAACATAATTAAATAGTTAATTATTGACTTATAATTAGAAATTAATTAATTATAACATTACGTTATAGATTTATAGTATAATTACTTAATCAATTATAATATTTTATCATAAACATTAGTACAAACTTAATTAAATGATTAAAAATTTAATTAATTATAATATTACATTAAAAATTTATAGTATGATTACTTAATAATTAATTCACTATAACATACATTATAGTATGATTATATAATTAATTATAACATTACATATTAAATAATTACTTAATTGATTATGTCATTATATTATAAATATTAGTAATTACTAATTTACTACATAAACATTAGCATAATACTTATTTAAATGATAGAAATTTAATTAATTATAACATTACCTTATAAACATTTCATTTTAAACATTAATTAAGCATTACATTATAGTTAAATAATTACTCAATTAAATTAATATATTTTATATTACATTATATACTATGATCAATTACTTAATTATAGCATTATATTTTAAATGATTACATAATTACATAATTAGTTATGAATTTATAACATTACATTATAAACATTAGTAATTTACTAATTTACTATGTTTTACATTACTTAATTAAACGATTAAAAATTTAATTAATTATAACATTACCTTATATATTTATAATACGTTACTTAATCAATTATACATTCCATTATAACATTAGTATATTAATTAAATGATTTAAATTTAATTAATTATAATATTAAATTATAGATTTATAGTATGATTACTAATTCATTATAACATTACATTATACTATTATAGTATGATCATATAATTAATATAACATTACATAATAAATGATTACTTAATTGATTATGAGTTTGATACTATGTTTTAACATTAGTAATTAGTATTTACTACACATAAACATTAGCACAATACTAATTAAAATGAAGAATTTAATTAATTATAACATTACCTTATAAACATTTCATTATAAACATTATTAAACATTACATTATAGTTAAATAATTACTCATTAAATATAATATTATTATATATTACATTAATTATGATCACTACTTAATTATAGCATTATATAGTAAATGATTATATAATTACTTAATTAATTATGAATTTATAACATTACATTATAACATTAGTAATTTACTATACTATTACATTACTTAATAAATGATTAAAAATTTAATTAATTATAACATTCTTTATATATTTGTAATATGATTACTTAATCAATTATAACATTCCATTATAAACATTAGTATATTAATTAATGATTTGAAATTTAATTAATTATAATATTAAATTATAGATTTATAGTATGATTACTTAATTCATCATTACATCATACTATTATAGTATGATCATATAATATATAACATTACATAATTAATGATTACTTAATTGATTATGACATTATATTAAAACATTAGTAATTTACTAATTTACACAATACTTAATCAATTATTATATTTTATTAATTATAACATTATATTTAATTTATGGTATGATTATTTAATTAATTAAACATTCTATTATAAACAATATTACAATACTTAATTAAATGATTAACATTCAAGTGTTGCTTAGAGATTACAGGTTAAAGTTACATTGGACACAAATATGAATAATGAAAATCTGTTAGGGGTGTATTTGTAAACTTATAAGGTGTTTTTGTTATTTTTTAAACTAATAGGGGGTTTTATTTTTTACAGGGTACCCTGGAAAGGAACCGGAACCTGCATTTTAGGTTCCGGTTCCTTGAATTGAAGAACCTGCACTGGCGGTTCCGTTCTGGTTCCCCTGAAAAATGCGGGTACCCGGAACCGCCACCCCTAGTACCAGGTTTCTATTCCTTTAATATCCAAAATACACTTCACTTTTCTATTTCAAAGTTACATGAGTCAGATAAGGGATTTTGTAGAGTGGAGGCGGTGGATTAAATGGTGGTGACTGATTGAATATTTATGACCGAAATTATTCGAAAATTACTAAATATGAAACCCTTGTTTTCAACAGCCGACAATCACAAGAATTAGGTACTAAGTGAGAGATATTTTATAAAGGAGACAAAGGTTCAAATGATGGTAACGGAGAATTTTCACAGTCGAATCGACCGAAATTTGCACACCTAGTTTTGATATAACGAAAATTAACTTTGGATGAAAATGGTTTTTTAAAACTTTTTTACTAGAAAATGTTATTAAGGCAAACCTTGGTGAAAAAGTCGTTTACTCATTTATAAAACTGAGAACGGTTAGGGCTTGAATGGACTGTGTTCGTCCTCTTAGAATTTTTGTTAAAATATTATATTATATTATTTTATTATAATATTATTGTCAATCAATAATTGTTTTCTATATAAAGAAATATTTTATCGTCTTTTTTTCCCGATATTTTGTATCAAAACATAGAGCAAAAAGGGGAAAGTGTCACATGTTAGAAAAGTTAAGGTATGAATTATTACTTTTAGAATTGCCAAACTAAAAAATTGTTTTAAGCTTTAAGTACTAAACAATAAACACTATATAAGATAAAACTTCAATCAAATTCTTATATCAAAGACCATGAAATTGAAATTTTTAATTTTTATTGTTTGCTTAAAATAATATATATATTAAAAAGGCCTCTATCGTTGGTTTCATCAATGCAAAATTGATATGTGTGTGTATTGAATCATAATTTTAGGCATCTCACAAAGTTATTCAAAAAGACTTGTAGGTGTTTGCATTTTTTTTTAAATCATGATTTCTACACACTACAGTTAGTAAAATATTACAAAAATAAAATACTTGATCTTCATAATTGAAAATTATATTTCCAAAATTAAGCCACTTGATCCTCATAATTGAAAATTATATTTCCAAAATTAAGCCACTTGATCCGCATAATTGAAAATTATATTTCCAAAATTAAGCCACTTGATCTTCATAATTGAAAATTATATTTCCAAAATTAAGCCACTTGATCTTCATAATTGAGAAATCATATGCAACTCAAAGCAAATAGAAAAATAAAATACTCAACAAAAACTCTGAGTCAACCCTAATTAATGGAAGGTGGCATAAACATGTATGGTTAATTATTCTATTTTCTATACATCAATGTTATAAATTAATTCTCATTTACTCACAAGGAGCTACATGTGCAATTTTGCTCCCATGGCCACAGTTTACAATTGATGGATTATAAGTAACATAGACAATTGGAATTTATTAAAAATATAAGTAATAAGGTTAACATATGTAAAGAATTTGACATAGATTAATTCTCCACCCATCAGGCAAACCCATTTGGTCTCTTAGAATTGACTATCTAGATATCTAAATATAATCATTTTAATTCTTAAAGTTATTAGAAAATATACAGTATCTATATATTTATATAATGCCGAAGCATACTACTTCTTCTGACGCCATTTAGGATTGATAAATGATCGCCATGTAGGATGTCGTTAATTGGTCCACGTGTTTGTTGTTTATTGGGCTTGCTATAATAAGGATCATTTACATGCATTCAATTAATGTATTCAATACA